CTGACTCGACCATCGAGTTTATTCTCGACAACGCGGCGCTTGCTCACATTTGTCGCCACGAGCACGTGTTTGAGTCGTTTGATGGCCACGAGCATGCGGTGACGTGGTTCAATGGCAACACGTCGACGCAGCGACGTGGCGCTGCTAGTTTCTTCTTCCCCGACGCCGACAGCGACAACGAGGTCGACGTTTACCTCGAGATGCACTGTGATCCGTCGTCGCGCGTCAACATCTTGAGCCAGACGCGGCTGCGTGAGCATCACGGTCTTTTGGCGTCGCTCTCGGCGGACAACCTCGTCATGACGCTGCGCAGCACGGAGATGAAGCTCGTCTTTCACTTTCGCGACGGGTTTTACCGCATCCGTGTGCGCTCACACGCCAAGCCGGCCGAGCCCGTGCTCTTTACGGGCCACGAGGTTTGCTCCAAGAACAGCCAGCTTCGTCTTTGGCACAACCGACTCGCCCATGCGAGCATGGACGTCGTCAAGTCCATGGCCAAGGACGGTGTGGCGGACGGCTTGTGGCTTCCGCGTCAAGACATCAAGTCGTCGGCGTCGTGCTTGTCGTGCACGCTCGCCAAGCAGAAGCGCATGTCGTACAACACAAAGCCAGAACGTACGACGATCCCGCTTCGCAAGATCATTGTCGACATTGGCTTCGTGTCGAGCATCGTGTCGTGGGAACAACACACGTGCTACCTCGCGATCATCGATGAAGGCTCGCGCTTCGTCTGGGTCAAGCCGATGGCCCGGAAGGGCGACGCGACGACGACGCTTGTGACGTGTGTCAAGACGCTCCAGATCGCGTACCAAAAGAAGATCGCGGTCATCTCGAGCGACGACGACAAGATGTTCCACAACTCGACGATTGCTGAGCTCTGCTCCGGTGGGATCACGCAGCAGCTCACGCACGGCTACGCGCCCGAAGAGGTCGCGCTCGTCGAGAAGTTCAACTACGTGTTGATGGACAAGGTCCGCGCGGTGCTGGCAGCGTCCGGGTTGCCGGACGAGCTCTGGAACGAGTGCGCCATGTATGTGGCGTATACGTACAACCGCACTGGCACCAAGCCCTTGGGCGGCAAGACGCCGTTCCAAGCGCTCAGGGGCAAGGCGCCTGACGTGACGCACTTGGGTCCTTTCGGGTGCGTCATGACCATGTTCCTTGGGCCGCACCGTCGTGCCTCGAAGATTGCGCAGCGCGCGCAATTGTGCATCTTCCTCGGCTACGATCAAGAACATCGCGGCTACCGGCTCCTCAACCTTCGGACCGGCAAGCTCGAGAAGGTGCGCTACGACAACGTGTGCGTCTACGAGGACCAGACGGTCGAAGGCGCATACGTCAAGAAGGTCCTACAAAGCGCCGCCAACCCCGGTGTTGGTGGCATCTCGTCCTTGGTCCCGTTTTGCACGCTGCCGGTCATGGAGATGCCGGAGACGTACGTGCCGTTG